AAAAGAATCGGTTCTATGGGTCTCACAGCCTGAATGCTTGCACCACGTGCAGAGAAAGGCCACACCTCCATGGCCTAGTCTTAGCCAGAAAACTAATAGATGGTTCCCCAGGGCCACCCTGTGTTGAAAATACATAACTACATGGACAGATCCTTTTACATAAGCGTGTGCCATAGGAGATAGTGTATGCCTGTTTTATGTGTGAAACAACGGCTACCATCTGTTGCTGCAGCATATGCACAGCAAAGTATGGGTTTGTTTTTTTAATCACAGGTCCTTGACTAAGAGATGCACTGCTCAAGACTTTCTTTCATTACACTGCTGAATAGCAAAAAGAGACATTGGTCCTATAGTAATATAATATTTACACAATCCCAGGAAATGATGTAGGAATGGCAGTAGGTTTGGCTAAAGAAAAATCAAGTACCATTTGGCATCAAATCATTCAAGCAGTATTTGTCATCAGTAATTTATTACTCAGAAGGAAGAGTATGTAAGCAATGTGTTTGATTTACCTAGTAGCAATTTTGATGCCAGATACGCTTGTGTAGATAAGCATTTTGGCTAGCAACAGTTTGTGTATATACAAACAGAAACTTAGTGATATCTGATTTACAACAGGCCAGAGTCTCACCTGAAATTGTAACAAATCTATACATTTACTCTTTGAAAGCCTGTACTATGAATAACAGGAAATTAAAACTATATAAATTCATAACAAAGTTGAGAAAAATAATTTTAGTTTTTTCCATAATATCTATGTAATTGTTATTCATATTCCTGCTAATATTCAGAATTATAAATATAGTTCTCCACTACCTTAATTAGCACCTCTGTTCTCATGAACCTGGTATGTCTGCACAAGGAAGATATTTCACCATATACTTGAATAGTTTCACAACTGCTGGAAACATGTTCTGATTGTCTGTGATCATTCTGTTAGGGTAAGAAAGGTACCAGTATGTAAGCATGTATCGATGCACATACAACAGGTGCCTTGTAAGCACTCCTTCTATCACAAGTTCTAAAGCAGTTTTCCCTGAACATAAAAAACAGGAAGTCTTTTCTCTGGCCGGTCATATAAAACTATTGTTATTTGCTACTGAGCTGGGTAAGGGATAGAATTTTGTAATGTTATTAGAAGACTGATTAACAACAATGCACATGGCACAGAATATTTCACACTCTCTATTTATAGTGCAAGGTACACATCTTCTATTACGTTCTGGAACTGAACCCAGGATAGCTCTTCATGAAGTTATTTTCTCTGGTGATAAAGAAGCACTGAGAGTGTTCTCATTTGTACTTGCTACCTCATGGGCTTCTGTCACAAACAGTGTTTGCAAGACCTTAGAGATATCTGGTACATGTCTTTTCCTACACTGCACTTTCCTTTGCAGTAGTTGCTGAGCAGAGACATTATTAGCTGCTGCACACCATCACAAGATCCCATTTATATAGGAGACCCTTCTGTAATCAAGAATGCAACATTTAGATCAGCTGTGAACTAGCCCATAATTCTCTGACCAAGGCACAGTGTGCCAATTTCACAGTCATTTGTGGCACCATTGAATTCAGTTTGTTATAAGACAGCTATACCAATCCTACAAATACTACCTTGTTTCAATGGCTGAAGAATTAGTAACTTCCTCTCTTCAGCATTATCAGACAAACAAGGTTATTAACATCAGTTTCCAGCATCTCAGCAGATACACAATATTTGGTGATCATTATTCTACAATCACTTAGCAGAGAAGCATCCAGGGGATCCTTCTGGAGGCAAAAGTTAGAGAGGATTTAAGAAGCCTTTTTTGGTACAGCTATTCATACAAGTTATGCAATACAGATTTCCCATGCATCAGCTGCTCTGTAAATTGTTACAGGCATGTTCTTACTGTGTGGAGGGGTGGATACACATAGAGCAGAGGCTGTAAGCTCAAAGGCTCTTGGCATACTGAAGTGAAATTCAGATTCTCAGAATAAATACACAAAAGCTAGAAATATCAATTATAATTTATATTTTATGGACCAAACTCAGCTGTCTGAAAATGCTTGATGATAGTGTAAATTACAGATCATCCACCAGAGGGAAGCTCATGCATGCATACAAAGGAAAATAATTCAAAGGATGAATGAAACATCCCCCCTTATATTTAAGCCAAAGCAAATTCTATTTAAAATGTTTCACAGCAATAGTATAGACTTCTTAAGCTTGGAAAGTTTTCAGAAGTTATTTTCTGATCTAAAAGTAACAGACAGAAAGTGTTTCTTCTTCCGGTGTTAATGACTGAATTGTTGCACTACATACACACAAAAAATTTTACAGATTTAGACCTTTTCTTTTAGGTTTGTTTTTTTTGGTTTGTTTTTTTTTTTTTTTTGAAACACAGGAATGCTACCTAATTTCACTGCTCTTAATAGAATTAGACCAGAGCTTATGTGGTCAGAAGTCCAACTGCATGTTCATACATTAAAAGCCCCACCCACATTTGGTCACTGGAGTAAGATACTAAGTTGTTTAGCATATTATTAAACATACTACACTGCTCCCCTTGTTACTGGAAATATTTGTTAGATTTCTCATAAAGTTTGTGCATTACTAGTGTAAATTTGACAAGTAACAGTCACTTTTAGAGAATATTAAAGACAGCTAACGATCTGAAGTTTTCATAATAATCCAACAGTCACACAGAGCTCTTCAGAAACATGCTCCCCAGCTCATGTTAACTCTAATAATCTGTGATATTAAGCCTAATAGTCTGTTTTCAGAGTCTTACTCAAGGAAGTCTTAGCATTTCAACACCTGTCTGGGATCTTTTTTGAAACAGAAATCCCAGGCTTTTGCTGCAGTTTTAAGATTAATTTGTTTTCTTGTTTAAATGACAGATAAAGCCAGAGGCAGCAGCCATCTGGCAAGCAAAGACTGGAGAAACATGTTTCTGAAAAATGTAAGAACAGATGCTTCAGAAGTTCCACCAGATCCATGCACCACTGGATTAGATCTATACTGATACTGATACTAACAGTTGTACAGACAACTGCTCTTTACCACCAAAAGTAAAGTTTTAAAGAGGTAAATTTACAGAGGTGTCACCCAATGCTACAGGAACATACAGGTTCTTTTGGGGATCCTTGGTAGAGTAAAGACTGGACACAGGGTTGTAGTTACAATTAGAGCTATATTATGACATAAAAATTTTAATTATCAGCAAATCTTATTGTTGTCTACGATTTCTAGCAGTTAGCATAGCTTGTTACACAGAATTTTTAGCAAAATTTGTAGTAATCAGTATAGTTTGCTTATTTCCTAGAGTCTTTAGTTTCCTAGGCTTCTAGTCACCTGAGCCCTCTGCAGATCAGTTAAAATTCTAGATAATCAGCATGTGATACAATAATCATAAACTAGATTCAGACTATCTAAAATAACCTGCCTGTCCCTGTAGCATCAGGTGACAAGAGGTACTGAGCATATCTCCTTGAATTTTTTTTTCCCCTCAATAAAAATTTGCAACTTAATTCAATCTAGATATGCCACTGGCAATAAATTAATAAAGAGCCCTTTCAGAGTTACTTCTGGGGAAATATGATGTGTGTAAAGGTGATTTAATTAGAGGAAGAGACATTGCCCATCACTTCCTTTCATTAGTTGATTGTCACAAGTGGTTTTCAGAAATTCCCTTTAGAATACAAACAACTGGTTTGGGTTTTTCCTCTACCCAATCTGTATTAGACGTAGTTAAAAATAAAAGAAACTGGAATCGTGTACCAGTTTTAATCCAAATTAGATCTTTATTACACAAATAGTGTTTTGAAGATATAATACTTGACTTCAGTGGAGTTATTCTGGATTTGCTTTTGATCTTATTATATTCTTATAAGATCAAAAACATCTAAGCTGATTTGGGGATGGTGGTGTTGCAATCCCTTTTCCATGGTGAAAGATACTTTTCAACTTAATATTATGTGCTACGTTTGCCAGGGTTGTAAAATTTACCTCAACACTTAGGGAAATAATCTGTATCACACAGTCTTAAGCGTGCTATATATAACTTTTCTGTGCATCTTTTTATGGAAAATACCCTTCCAGTTTCACTTATGTGACTCGTGAACATTTCTGTTGGTGCTGCTGGTTTAGTTCCTCCTTTAACTTTTAGAAATTATGAACTTCAAAAGATGATGTTTTGACATCAAAATAACAAAATACTTTCATATTCTTTGGCCAGACATTGAAGAACTTAGGATTCACACAGGATTTGAATACTGCACCGACTACCAAGTTTCCTAGGAGATAAAGTCATAGCCCATTGCTGGTGCAGCAGGAGGACAACATAATATATTTTCTCTCTGACATGAAGCATTTTCTCCTATAACCATATATCCAGATTATTCTGATGGTTACTGTTTGGATAAAGGACCACACTTTCCCAGAGCATTAGAAATACAAATCCCACACATTTTATTGTACCAGTACAGTCTCACTATAGAACACATGTTGATTTCCTTCATGCCAGCATATTTCTAAAGCATGATTCACTCTTTTCTGCTGAATTTAAAAAGATTACATGAAGGTAGTAAGCACAATTTTTTATGCTTTGGAATGTAATTTCATGTCAAATATATAATGCACATTTGTGGTTTATCTGCCACCCATCTTTTTTTGGCTTGTAGAAAATAAAATGTTGAGTTATTCATACAAACAGGAGTATATAGCATTAAGAGGGTTTCTTTCTCCTCATAGCTGTTGGTTAGATCAATAACTTTAACAAAGTAGCAAGCTTCTTTAAATAGGGACACTTCTGAAAGACCACCGACATGTTTTAAATGCTGCTGAAGTACAGTGGATGTAAAACTAAAATCAAAGTCAGACGCTACACTGTATTTTTACTTTTGCTTTGTATGCAAAAATGCACACTGTCTTCCTAAACAACAGGAACTGCCATATGTGGTCAAATGTCTGTAAGAGTGAGCATTAGGATGTGAGCTCATATGACATACTGGTCTACAGAGTATCAGTTAGAGAATTTTCTCTCTCATGGTTCACTAACACCTTCAGAATTAAAGCAGAGTGCAAAGCACCAAGGATATTGGCAATCAAGAACAACTGAAGAATTTCCAGAATGAGTCAAGCTGAGGAAAGCAGTGTCCACTCGACGTGGAATATTGTGAGGTCAGTAGTCTGCATGATACTGAGCTTGTCATTTATTATCGGGACCCCTGGAAATTGCATCATCATATGGACTGTTTGTACAAAAATGAAGCAAATATCTCCTTCAGTCCTGCTGATCTTGAACCTGGCCATTGCAGATGTCCTCGTACTGATTACTTTACCAATTTGGATTTACTCGTTTGCTGACTCATGGGTTTTTGGCATCATCTTCTGCAAAATACTGGTTTTCATTATTTACTGCAGCATGTATGCTAGTATATTTCTAATTACAGCATTGAGCTTGGAGCGGTTAATGGCTGTGTTTTACCCTTTCACAATTCAAAGATACAAAACAAAAGAAAAGATTTCTTTAGTCATGTTCCTCATTTGGTTCCTGTCTATTACTTTCGGCATTTCTGTCATTCCATTTCAAGAGACAGAAGAAATGAATGGTGGACTACTGTGCACATGTCGCAACTACTCTTCTAATAGACAGAAGGTGTCATATCTTTTGCTGGAAACTCTTGCAGGTTTTGTAATCCCTTTTTTAATTATTTGCACTTGTTACATGTGTGTTGCGAGAAGAATAAGCAGAATGACTTACCAATCTAAGCAGCGATCGGAACGGCTCATTGCCAGCATTGTGGTGGCATTCATTTTATGCTGGTTCCCTCATCATCTCTTTAACATCCTAGATATTATTTCAATCCAGATAGAACACTCTAATGAGGAAATGTCTTTGGCACTGGATGAAATTGTAGACAGAGGAGTGTACATCTCTGGAGCACTTGTATTCATCAGTAGCTGTATTAACCCTCTGCTTTATGCTTTTGCTGCACGAAGATTTCAGAATCACCTGAGGTTTGCCAAGATATCAAAGCTGTTTGAACAGATGAGTCAGACTGTAACAGAGGAAGACAAGAAAAAAAGTTTGGTTGTAACCAAACAAGAAGATACTTTAGTAAGCACAGAAAATCTCTAACAAGGAACATAGACTTAGTGAATAATGTGATTCTGTGTCATTCCTTCAGTTTTTTTTTCTCCTCATACTCGCAGCTTCATTTACTAAGCAGTCCAAGTAAAGCTAGAGACAGGTAAATGTTATTTGGGTTTGGTTTGTGAGTTATAAAAGAATTGTCGTTGGCAACCTAGTTCAGTTCCTAAGTTACTATCCACGTCATGAAATCAGCATCATTTCACTGGTGCTGAGAATCTCAGCAAGGTGGCTAGAATCTCAAAGTGTAAAGAATACAGTATTTTTGCTTTCCATTAAAATTATTTGTGATTTCTAGAAAGTCTGTATGAAGAAAACAGAAAAGGACTGTATGTGGAAAACAGAAGCTTTGCAAGTGTAAAACTAAGTTTTCCTTTGGAAAAAAATGTTAGCTGCTCAAAAGTCCTTATATAATTTAAAGTTTTAAGAGATCATACTTAAATTCTTGATACGGGTAATGGTTTTAAAGTATATTAAATACACATAAAACCTCTGTGTAGATGAAAAATATATAGCTATTTTTATTCATTGATTTATTTAGGTTTGAAAGTAATGAGGGTTGTATACACGGTCAAGCTCATTTACTGAATTATCTTGTGCTAATAGGTTTTAACAAGTAAAATGTGAAGTGTGACGGGCCTCCAGAAAAAAACAGGAGGTTTCTGTGTTGTGTGGCAAACACAGTTAGAGACTTCATGCTCTATTTGATGTCAAATGCATTGCATACTTCAGTGCCAATTAAACTATTGATATATTAAATATACATCCTATGAGTATCCTCAAAAAGCTTGATTCAGTCAGGCTTCCAAGATATCTATTAAATTATGGGGGGATTGGATCAGGCTCTGCTGGGAGGGAAGGAGAGATCCTTGATGACATTTTTTATGTGTAAGAAAATTATGGTACCAGTACAAAGTGTCTAATATCATAAGAACTTCACCTTGCAAATAAAGCCATTATTTTTTTCTTCTGCTGTGGAATAGAGTGGACTTTGCCATAACAAGCCAATAAATTTAGCACTTGCAAGGACCTTATTTTAGTTTTGTGAATGTGTGGAAAAACTGCATAGCATCAAGTGTTTGCTTTTGAAGTTTTTTTCATTTCAATTATGCCTCACATTTTTTGTACTTACTCTTGCTTATTTTTAAGTCAGTAACTTGTAATAAGATCAAGATAACTACTGATTACTAAGAAAGGTATTGTAATCTCCTGTACATTCTAGGTAGCTGATAAATAGCTATGTTGCTCATCTTTACAAAGAAATGACAAATATTACCTAGAACTTAATTTTCAAAATCTGATTATGTAACAAACAAGGATATTTGAGTTGTATTAATTTAGCTTGTAAACGGAAATAAACCTGGGGAAGTAAAATCCTTACCTGTTAATGGAAGAATATTTCTCTAAGCTTCACATATGTATTTGTTATTCCTGCTTGTTATGAAAAAGTAATTTTTTCTACTCAACAGAAGAAATTCCACATCACGGAGGGCTTTCTATCAATGGGACTCCTTCACTGAAATTAAAATAAATAAAACTTTAGCAAGACCCTGTTTGCATTAAAGAATAAGCAGCAGATGAAATCCATTAGACTTTACCCCATCTACCTACCACTCTTTTTTCACACCACTAATGGCTTTTTAATTGCTATTAGTATATTCAGGATAGCAATGTGGCATTATCTCACAATAAAGGCAGCAACTTTAGTTATCTGCTGCACAAAAAAGTGAAGCTGTATTTTGCAATATGCTCTTGAGACAGGAGTCACTATTCAACAACACAGAACAGATGAGGAGATAATAAGCACATGAGCACTGCAATTGAGCTAGAGTTCCAGGCCACAAGGAGCCAAGCATTTCACAACTTACAAGTTGGGAAAAGACAAAGACCCAGACAAATTTTAGTACAAGCTATCTGACTGGAATTTTCCTTTCTATCAGTTTGTGCCCTATACCTAGGTATAACCAAACTTCTGGTTAGGAATTGGGTTAAACCCCTAACCATCTCTCTGTGTGCATCACCTACCTCATGAATGAAGCAGTCTTTTTTTGTGCCATTTGCTATTCAAACAACGTTTTGGGCCATTGACTTCATGTTAAGTATCCTGTGCTCAGCTATGTCTAACCCAGGACAGGCTATAAAGGGATTGGTGGCCAGATAAATAGTCTGTGAAATACTGCCTACAGCAGTGGTGTTTGTTTTTTTGTTTGTTTTAAATCAATGGATAAGGAATAGTGAGTCAGACCTTTTTTCTTTTCTTTTTATCCTGTCACTGACAAGTGAACTTTGCTGCTTGGGCTGCATCCTGCCCAGCATCCAGGAATCTTAAAAAAGGAATTAGTGACATCCACAGATCAGTAAATACATTCTAGGGAATAATGAATTCAGTTAAGGCAGTTTTGAACTGAAAGCTGTTACTCTGAGGATTCAGACTCATTTACTACTCGGTGCTGCGCCTCCACTGAAATTACAGTACTTCAGATAGAAACCTAAACTAAGTTAGCTAAACAACATTTCTTATGGTCAACAAACCAAAGGGAAGCACATTAGCTATATTTTACCTCTGTGCTTTGACAGCAGATAGCATGAATTTTCTGCCTCAATGTTGAGTTCCCCCATTTTCTCCACTTTTTTACTCAACTGCAGTAGTGAAGTACTTGTAAAACATGTAGTCCATCAAGGAGCTAGAATAGTCCTCATATGTTCATATTAGTGGTCTTGGACAGCTGTCTCCAGTAGTCAGTCATCTTTAAGAAGTATGTTTCTTTTGAAGGCTGTTGGAGGAGTGGTAAAAGATGCTAAAACAGCAACTTTAACTAATTTCACTTTTCTACAGAGCAAATAGAGTTAATTCTTGCAAACGTTGGTATGCACAGACAAATAAACTCTATTTTTGGCAACACAGCCATGATATAACTTGGTCAATAAGAGTCAATGTAGAAGTCTAAGCTGATGACAAGTTTGTCTGCTTCTTCCTTTAACAGGTTTATCAATTTAGTGAGATTTACCACTTCGTCGATGCTAACATGCTCTTGTCACAAGACTACAGGGATTCCAATAGGCCCATTCAGCCAGTAGACAGAGGACATTCTTATTTCCTAAAGTACTAAATCCCAGCCAAACCTAAGACCTAGCACAGATTTGGTCCAAAATACTGCATCCTGTGATAGTGATACTTCATGGTTCTTATTGACTACATTACGTATCCATCTTATAGATGTATTGGAAGATTAATAGAAAGCAAAGACATTCCTTGATTGTTCAAGCTAGTTCAAAGCAGTGACCCGAAGGTGAGAGCAGTCTTACTAGTAACTCTTGAGACACTCAGACCCTTCTGAGAAAAAAAGATGTTTCGTCTTATTTGAGTTCCTCTTATTTTTCTTACTTCCTAACTTTTCTGTCCTTGTTTATGAAGTCTGTCTCTGTGGTTTCAGTGTCCAGCTATTTCTCATGACACAGCAAGGAAGAAGGCATGAAAGGGCCATTTCAGTCACCTGAGTCAAATCACCTCAGTTACACTGAAGTACAGGGAACATTATGTGGAATCAGTGCAACACTGCTTAGAACACCAAGTACTAGGAGGTAACTAGATGGTTTGAATTTCTCATGTTTGTAAAAATTAATAATCTCTTAACATTGATCTCTAACATTAAAGTCTTACCCAGCCTGAAGCTTGCTGTGAACATTCCATGGGTATACATCAGGAATTTATCACATTTAATGTAGTAGGATCACACTGCATAAAGTGAATTCATGCTGTATTAACATAGTGAAGGAGAGCCTGAATTATTTTTAGTTCATACACAGCCAATATACAAGAAGGATTAAAAAAGAACACAAAGAAAAAGTATCAGTCTTACACTTTTTGTTGCCTACTGACACCAAAAGTTTTCTGTAAGCATCATGGTAAAATAATTATTACAGAGGTCTGGATTAATACAGTGGAGCTTTGTGGATATTGAGGCAGCTTGTAATTTAAGAGGTAACACAAGGGAAATCAGAGATCCTTATTTGTAGACAGAAACAGGACAACTACATTATACTAAAGAATTTTTTTTTTTTTTTTGATTTAACAAAACCAGCAGAACATTGTGTAGGAAGAAGCAGAGCAAAAGTTAAGAGAGATTTTAAAGACAGTTAAGACTGCAGTTATGAAACGCTTAGGGTTACTATTGATGGGACTAAAACAAAGACTTGCATGCAGGACTTGGATGAAAGGAGTAAAAGAACTTGGAAGCTAACATGGCATGGAGACTACATAGGCATGCAGATTCTTTCACATACAAGCAAGAGTCTGATCCATAATATTTTAGAAGATGCAGAATGAGTGAATATTAACAATGGTGATGTTTTCCTCTGGTTGTATATATTACAACTCTTGTATTACTCCCTTTTCTGCATCTATAGGGAGAAGGGAAGAGTAAGGGAAAAAAGTATATTTGATTGGAGTGGAAAAGCAAGTGAGAAATAAGTCAGTTAAGATTATTCAGAAGAATGTGGCCTTGGCATGAAATTGGGAAGTTGAGCTATAAAAGCTGAGTATGCAGAGAGGGAAGTGAGAACTATTCTGTTGCAAGGCAGTTTCAAGTTTTTGCAAATGCTTTCTTGTCAGATCAGTTAATCACTAAAACAGTTATTAGAAAACTCCTCAACTAGATCTCTGTTGGTTGTTAATAGGTTAAAGAAAAAAAAATCAATAAAACATAGTTTCTTTAAAGATATATAACCCTGTCCTCTGAGAGGGTATCTTATGCTGCTCCTGTTAGCATTGAGTTGGGTGTGGCCAGGGCTATGATGATGGCCACTAGGATTTCAGAAATTTTACAACACTGTTTACAGAGCTAAGAATATTCTTGCACTGATAGGTATAGAGATAGTAGAACCGTATGGTATTATATTCCCTCCTGTCTTCTTTCCCCTTAAATCAATTATTTTGAAAGTCATGTTGGTGGTTCTTACTAAGGATTCAATATTTTAAACTAGATGCATTTAAATTGGAAGAAAGGTTCAGATTATGAGAAAATTAGTTTTATGGAATGTGTGAAGTCAGTGATTCAAGTGATTAAAATATTGGAAAGGATATTATAAAGTCTTACAGTACATGCTAAACAGTCACAACTTGTAAGTTATTAATATTATACATCTGCTACAACTGCAAAATCCACTTAATTTAATAGAAATCAACTACCTGAACTGCATTTTGATTGCAGAGGTAAGTGGTTACACTCCAGTTTTGGCTGCAATTGTATAGATACTAACAATGTATAAAACTAAGTGCATCACTGTTTCCACTGGCTATTAACTAGGAAACAGTGCTAGCAGTACTGAGACATCTAGAAACGTGGGCATCCATAATTACAATACACTGAAGTATATGTCCAGGTGGTCTTCAATCAGAGGGTTAGTAGTTTGGACCACTCTTAGTAGAACTTAAAGTGGAAAAGCTGACTTTCTGGTTTTGTGTAGCAGACCTGTTTGTGATGTAGTACATTACATAAAAAATGAAGGCCAAATACTTTCTTTTCAGAGGATTATTATTTTGAAGCACCGTTTATGGCCTGTCATTAACCTGGTAGTATCACCATAAAAGTGACAATAGGAAAACAGCTATGTGAAGATCACTTGTAGTCATTGACAACTCGTGCTATGGTAAGATGTGGCAGTGTAGACAATCTAAAAACATGTTGCAGATTCCATATCCTAAGTGTACTACATAACTTCAACAGTTATTGTAATATTAACATTCACTGTATGATTCCCTATTGAACTTAGTGAGTACTATCAGAAGCTTAAACGTCAGACACTTTTTTAAACATTGTAACTAATTATGTTTGCATCCATTTGTAGCCACGAACCTTCAGCTATGCTGTAAAAGGGAACATGATGTAGTTAAAACTGAAGGAGGCAATTAGTGTAGCTATCTTTTTACATGCCTTGTTCTCTCCTGCCACCATGTGGCTCTTCCATTTTAAAAAGTTAGGCCTAATTACAATACTCGTACTCAAAATCACTGAAACAGCTGGTGAGGTGCTTTGTTCATTATTTCAGCTGTGAATGGTATTTTAAGGTTCATGTCATTGAGACAGAAAGATTCACAAAAAAGCACAACAGTATATTAATCATCCAAGTTTCCAAGTTCTTTTCATTTCAGAGTGATCTAGCTGATTCTTTCCTTACTCTTTAGGAACCCAAGCCCATATTATTTAAAACATTGAATAAACTAGGCAGGCTGAGAAATTTTGACAAAATATAATTACCTCATGACAGTTTGTGAAAAGCCTCTCCTTAAAATTACTTCCTCCTTTGCCCCCCCCCCCAAACCATCAATAAATATGTTGAGCTAGACCCTGACGCTTGAATTTGAACAGCTGAAA